AGGTGTGTTTGATTAGGGTTGGAGCTGAACTTTGCAGGAGAGTCGATAGCCAGGAGCAGGGTTGGGCACCCCTGGCCTAGAAACTTGAAACTTGGCCAGATCGTAAAGCTCAATTTGGGGAGAACCTATCAAAGTCTCGTCACAATGGCCAAAGGGGGGCGTTTCGTTAAAAATAGAGTGATCATTGAGCATTGAGTGATTTTCTTGTTTTTGATGGATTAACATTAAAGACAGACAGCACCTAGTGAATGTGGTCGCTTTAATGTTCAAATCCAATATAATGATCCACATCCGATTTATTTCTCAACAGTTTATGTTTACGTGAGACATAAACAACAGTTTTCGATTATATTCGCCAAGTTATCATGTATGTTGAAATAATGTTGTATGTGTTTGTCCGTTCGAGCGCAGAGAGAAGCGAGAATGAACGAGCTTCAGTGCGCAAGCGTTCAGAAACAAGACGCGGGTCTCAGTGACACAATACAGCTGGCAAGCACTGAATTTAGCTCTTGGTGTGTTTTAATGCTTGGATTGTATAAAATCGCTTGAATGTTTTAAATGCCTAGGCTTTAAAACACATGCAAATGATGAAGTTTAATGAGAACGCTGCAGTGAGCACTCGCGATCTCACACGCAGCGCAAGGCTCTCAGTGACACAGACAACAGCTCACAAGCACTGAATTTAGCTCTTTAATATGTTCTTATACTTCAATTGTGTAAAATCGCTGGAATGTTTTAATTTACAAGGCTTTAAAACATGCAAATGATGTTCACTTGAGCGGCGAGAGAAGCGAGAATGAACGAGCGTCCAGAGACACAAAGCGCGGCTTTCAATGACATACAAAACAGCTCACATGCACTGAATTTAACTCTTTAATATGTTCTTACACTTGTATTGTGTAAAAGTGCTTGAATGTTTTAATTTACAAGGGTTTAAAATACATGCAAATGCTGTAGTGTCGTGAGCGTGGAGGAGTGGCTGAGCCGAGTGCTGACAGATCTGACAACGTCTTTCACACTCGCCTTTGGCCATCAGACAGTCATTTTTAATGAGCCCTGACCTGGTAATGGTCAGATATTTTGGTTTAGCTTGTCAGTGTGAATGAAATATAATTTATTTGCATTTTTATCCAATTTGAAAATGAAACTAAGTGAGAGAAGTTATCCTCTAGTGGGTTGCAATCGTCCTCTAGAGGGGGCATTTTTTTCTCAGCCAATGTAAGTCTATGGGACATTTTTTATTTTTTATTATTTATAGGAAAACTGTAAGTCTGATCAGTCTGAAAAGATATAGCAAAAAACTACACATCAGGGCCAAGGCCTCTGCCGAGTTTGGGGCTTGTAGCATTAAAGCCTTAGGAGGAGTTAGAGTCCGAAAATTTGGTCTCAGACGAATAATAATAAGTTTAATAATCTCCGTCCCTCTCTCACAACAAATAATACCAGTGTTCGAATTGGGGGGGGTCCCATACCCCCCATAACACCCAAAAATATATACTTGGGGTGTCCCCTGGTTTTTCAATAAAGCTATAATACTTGAAACATGAAACTAGTGAAAATGAAAATGAAATGAAGATTCGATTGCTGTATTAAATTTAGACCTGCTCATGTCACATCGTATTTTATTTTTACGTGTTTTACAGAGTTGCTCATATAACAATCACACACGATTCTGCTGAGCTTAAGAATGCAGTGGCCATCAGAGGCATTCAGATTAGTCATCGCTGAATTTTGTTTAGACTGAAACTCGCAAATTCCCTCATCAATTGCAAAAAAAGTGTAGATGTATGCATGATAAAAGTAAGGGATTCATTTATCATACAGAATACAGGTGCATCTCAATAAATTAGAATGTCGTGGAAAAGTTCATTTATTTCAGTAATTCAACTCAAATTGTGAAACTCGTGTATTAAATAAATTCAGTGCACACAGACTGAAGTAGTTTAAGTCTTTGGTTCTTTTAATTGTGATGATTTTGGCTCACATTTAACAAAAACCCGCCAATTCACTCTCTCAACAAATTAGAATACTTCATAAGACCAATAAAAAAAAAAACATTTTTAGTGAATTGTTGGCCTTCTGGAAGTATGTTAATTTACTGTACATGTACTCGATACTTGGTAGGGGCTCCTTTTGCTTTAATTACTGCCTCAATTCGGCGTGGCATGGAGGTGATCAGTTTGTGGCACTGCTGAGGTGGTATGGAAGCCCAGGTGTCTTTGACAGTGGCCTTCAGCTCATCTGCATTTTTTGGTCTCTTGTTTCTCATTTTCCTCTTGACAATACCCCATAGATTCTCTATGGGGTTCAGGTCTGGTGAGTTTGCTGGCCAGTCAAGCACACCAACATCATAGTCATTTAACCAACTTTTGGTGCTTTTGGCAGTGTGGGCAGGTGCCAAATCCTGCTGGAAAATGAAATCAACATCTTCAGAAAGCTGGACAGCAGAAGGAAGCATGAAGTGCTCAAATTTCTTGGTAAACGGGTGTCTGTGTGCATTGAATTTATTTAATACACGATGTAAGAAAAAGTGATGAAGACAATGAAGATCTCGATGAAGATGTTTATTGCAGCATAGCAGTGACAAAGTACATGCAGTACCTTGGGTTCAACGGAGTCGGAATGAACCACAAACATCCTAAGCTCAAACATTTTATACTCTATTACGTCCATCTTCCCGCATGTAAATGAAGTTTCGTCGTAAATGTAAATTGCGGATAACAATGAAAGAGATAGCCTTCCGTGCCCACATCTTTGGTAGTCTTTCAGGTGGACACAACCAAATGTTAAGGTGCAATTATATTCAAGTACCCTTTTGGTCAGCAGATGGTTCTTGGAGGCCTACTGCCGCTCCCACGCTATAGGTGACGATTGACGAAGTAATGTTCAGGAGATACTATTTACATATTATTGAGATCGGAAAGAATTATCTCTATGATAATTAAGCTCTTTGTAGAGAAAGGAGAATAGTTTACTTGGAGTGGAAGTTTGGTCGAGGCAGACTATAATTTCTTACAACGAGTTTCACAATTTGAGTTGAATTACTGAAATAAATGAACTTTTCCACGACATTCTAATTTATTGAGATGCACCTGTATAAGAGGAATTATGAGTGCTAGCAAGCTAGACTGACTGCTCATTTAGAGGGTGTTCTTTCACTGCATGATTCAGTCTAATAAAATGCATTTAGAATGCTCCCAAAATTCAAGATATGGGGGCAGAAAATATATTTATATAATTTCATATAGTTAATATCACACGAAGAGTGCCATTGTTTCACAAGTCACAAATGTGATATTGTTTTTATACAACAGTTCAATAAAGTTAATATTAATAGACGTATGTTTTAAACACCATATTGCCTATTTTTGCTCTATTTCGCCAACAAAAAATTGTTTTATTTGTTTGGTAACGGCCCCAAATGTCTTACTATTCTAATTGAATTTGATTAAATATAAGAATTTGATGCAAAATATAATGCACACCTCTAGGAAAAAAATGCCCATAAAGGGTAAAAATCACTTTAAACTTGTTGGAAAAGATTATTTTCTGTCACTGCTGTGAACTGACCACGCAGAATATGAAGAATATCAAAAACTTTAGGAGTCAGCTGTACACGGCAGTCCTGCAGCGTGTCACACTCAGCAAAATATCATCCGATTATCAAATGAATCATATTTATATAAGCTTTTATTTATTGATTGATTGAAAGGGGAGTGGGGGGGATCCCCCAAGAGCTTTGACAATTCAAACACGAGTAATACTGCAATTCTTATTCATGCACTTGTTACCTCACATATTGACTACTGTAATGCTCTACTTATTATTCTTCCTTCTCTATAAACACCAGTTAATTCAGAACTTGGCAGCTCGTGATCTTTCTAAGACTTCATCTATTGAGCACTTCAGATCTTCACTCTCAATTTCTCTGGTATTGCCACGTATACGCTAAAGCACTATGGGAGCAAGAACTTTTAGTTTTGCAGCTCCTCACCTAAGGAACTCTCTCCCCCAATACACGCAACCATGACAGTCCGCATAATTTTAAATCTCATCTGAAGGTTCACCTCTTTAACCAGGCTTTATTACTTGCTCTTATTTAGCCTTTACTGTATTGGTGTTGCATGCATTTGTGCTGTTAAACTTCATAACGCTTACGAAGTTTATCGTGGCCTTTACATGTGGGTATTTGGTCCTCTTAGACAAACAAAATCTCTCTTTAAATTGTAAATTGATCATGTAGAGAAAGGGCATTCCCTTATAGCACAGCTGATTTTGACAGTTGACCAGAAATTACTTAGCTGGCTTATCTAAAACCAGGAAGTAACTACACAGTCAATTCCACCCCTGACTGCAAGCTGCAACTCTCGCCGATCGGTCTGCGCAGCTCTGCATGAAGTCAAACACACTACAGTTCCCAGCACGAGATCCAGGCATCTGCATTTACAGGCTCACTGGTGCCGCACAGATGTACTTTCTCATCCAAGCCAGTCAGCAGTTTAACAGCATTCATCAAAATGACAGTTGACCAATTAAATCTCTGAAGGCAGGCATTACCCCTTTACCAAATTATACTTAAAAGTACAGATACAGGAAGTACGGAACTTTATTTTTGACCAAAAATATAGGCCTACTAGTAGAAGTTTAAGTACAACCTTAAATTGTACTTCTTAATGGATGACATGTACTACAGAGGAGAAACTGACTGCAACCCATGAGGCAGATGCAGCCGTCACTCCTGACCAGCTTAAGAACCTCCATGAGAATACAGAAATGCAAAGAATTTGCAGAAGGCGTAACAGCTGCAGCAAAAAAAAAAAGAAAAAAAAAAAAAAAAAAAAAAAAGAAAAAAAAAAAAGGGTTTTATGGTCCCCAAGACATAACGTTTTATATTTTGTGTAAAAATGGACTAATATTATATAATATGGAGAGAAACTTGCACAAAGCACTGATGCCAGAAAGCAGACAAATGATAACACCAAATCTTTAATCAAGAAATTGAATAAAGCTCTGAATTGAAAAGATCAAGTAAAGATTATGCAAAATGCCCATTTCAAATGACCACATCCATTACAATTTCCCTGATCGCTTCACGGAGCTTGACCACTTTCACTTCCATAACCACTTCCCTGATCTTGACCTCTTCTCTGATCACTTCCACGTCCCTGATCGCTTCCCTGAGCTTGACCGCTTCCATGACCACGTCCTCTTCTCTGATCACTTCCACGTCCCTGATCGCTTCCCTGAGCTTGACCGCTTCCATGACCACGTCCTCTTCTCTGATCACTTCCACGTCCCTGATCGCTTCCCTGAGCTTGACCGCTTCCATGACCACGTCCTCTTCTCTGATCACTTCCACGTCCCTGATCGCTTCCCTGAGCTTGACCGCTTCCATGACCACGTCCTCTTCTCTGATCACTTCCACGTCCCTGATCGCTTCCCTGAGCTTGACCGCTTCCATGACCACGTCCTCTTCTCTGATCACTTCCACGTCCCTGATCGCTTCCCTGAGCTTGACCGCTTCCATGACCACGTCCTCTTCTCTGATCACTTCCACGTCCCTGATCGCTTCCCTGAGCTTGACCGCTTCCACTTCCATAACCACTTCCCTGATCGCTTCCCTGAGCTTGACCTCTTCCCTGATCACTTCCACTTCCATAGCTACTTGCACTTCCATAACTACTTCCCTGATCACTTCCCTGAGCTTGACCTCTTCCACTTCCATAGCTACTTGCACTTCCCTGACCACTTCTATAACTACTTCCCTGATCACTTCCCTGAGCTTGACTGCTTTCCTTATCACTTCCCTGAGCTTGACCACTTCCATAACTGCTTCCGCTTCCATAACTGCTTCCCTGAGCTTGACTGCTTCCCGGATCACGTCCCGGAGCTTGACCGCTTCCACGTCCATAACTGCTTCCATGAGCTTGACCGCTTCCCTGATCACTTCCCTGAGCTTGACCGCTTCCACTTCCATAACTGCTTCCCTGATCATGACCGCTTCCGCCTCCGCTTCCATAACTGCTTCCGCTTCCACTTTCATAACTGCTTCCCTGAGCTTGACCGCTTCCGCTTCCCTGAGCTTGACCGCTTCCACTTCCATAACTGCTTCCGCTTCCACTTCCATAACTGCTTCCATGAGCTTGACCGCTTCCGCCTCCGCTTCCATAACTGCTTCCGCTTCCATAACTGCTTCCGCTTCCCTGAGCTTGACCACTTCCGCCTCCGCTTCCAGAACTGCTTCCCTGAGCTTGACCGCCTCCACTTCCATAACTGCTTCCGCTTCCAGAACTGCCTCCGCCTCCACTTCCAGAACTGCTTCCCTGAGCTTGACCGCCTCCACTTCCAGAACTGCTTCCTTGAGCTTGACCGCCTCCACTTCCATAACTGCTTCCTTGAGCTTGACCGCTTCCACTTCCCTGAGCTTGACCGCTTCCATAACTACTTCCGCTTCCATAACTGCTTCCGCCTCCGCTTCCAGAACTGCTTCCCTGAGCTTGACCGCTTCCACCTCCACTTCCATAACTGCTTCCGCTTCCGCTTCCGTAACTGCTTCCGCTCCAGCGTCCACCACTGCTTCCGCTTCCGCTTCCATAACTGCTTCCGCTTCCATAACTGCTTCCCTGAGCTTGACCGCTTCCCGGATCACGTCCCGGAGCTTGACCGCTTCCACGTCCATAACTGCTTCCATGAGCTTGACCGCTTCCCTAAAACAAATAGCCGTGTCACTGCAACATAAACCGCTGTAAAATGGGGTTTTAAAAACCCAAGGAGATCAGGTCAACTCCAACCCTGATCAAACTCACCTGCCTGTAGCTTTCTAATAATCTGGAAGACCTTGATTAGCTTGTTCAGGTGTGTCTGGTTGGGGTTGGATGAGACTGCTGCGTTCACGCCATGTCATAATAATTAAGGTATGGCGATTGGATCACGCCGGGGATAACCTACCGAAGTCGACAGTCGTGTACTTTTTACATGTGAGAAGGGGTAGCCTACGTCGCAACACAGATGCGTGACACCAACGCCGTAGAGAAGTACGTCGCCACCACAATAAATTAATATCTTACCCTCATGTGTTTTTTTCTAGGTTTTCTTATTTTCTTTGTTATCCTTATTATCAATCATTAACTTTTTTATAAATAAATTTCTGATGCTCAGGAGGAGAACATCCAATTCTAAAATAAGGGGTTCTCAACTGATTAGTGTTGGAGCTAAACTCTGCAGGAAAGTGGACCTTGCAGACCAGAGCTGACAACCCCTGTTTAGAATTTTCTAATTCTAATTCTCCTCCTGAGCATCAGAAATTCATACAGCTATACTCATTTAAACCATATTTTATTGTGGGTTACAAAAGTTTACTACGAAGACCATCCACTGCTGTAGTGCAGCAGGGGTTCCCAACCATGTTCCCATTTTATATTTTGGAGTCTGGACATTTTGTAACTCTCCCTTATCTGACATATACCCACTTCAGGTCTTGCAGTCTCTAATGAGCTGAAGAGTTGAATCAGGTGTGTTGATGAGGGAGACATAAGCTGTGTCTCATTTAGAAGGCTGCACCCTCCGAAGGTCGCATACGTCATCGAGGCTGTCTCATTTCAGAAAAGCAAGTAGGACACTCCGAATGCGACCTTCTTTCACAGGAACTCGGAGGATGCATGAGGTGTATCCTTCGCTGCTACAGATAACCCACAAT